GAGCAACGAGCCGAGCCCGAGCTCGGCTTGTGAAAAATGAGCCACGAGCCCGAGCCAAACTCGTGGGTTAACGAGTCGAGTCGAGCCGGCTCGGCTCGGCCCACTGCCATCCCTATGGGTTCGGTTGGTCATTAGGTTAGATGTTCCATCCTGCACTTGGCCGATCCTATCAAGCAGCTAGTACCATCTTAGTTCAGCACTACCTTCGGATGGTTCATAGCGATTCAGCACTAGATTTGTATTGATGAACTAGACGTCCTTGTTTCTGACTGTATTGTGGACTCCCCTACTTTGGTTGATCTAAGTGTTACTCTTTTATATTCTTGTTCTCTTTTTTCATATTATTCTTCTTTTCAGAGTCTTTTAAGAGGGGACATGGGATTGGGTGGGGAAGGTTGTTACATGTACGAATTGAATTCATCCCCTGAATTGTGTTCCCAAACTTTTTATAGTTCAGGAAACATAGCATGAAATGTCTGTAGTATTGCAATAAATTAATAAATGAAGTATATCATTGACGTACCAGTTACCAAGATCGACTTTCGAGAATGACATAACTACTAATTGAGTAGATCATCTTTACTTTTATGAAGCAACTTGTTTTGCAATCTTAAAGTACTATCAACATCATTCAAAATCTTTCCTGGCTTTGTGAAAATGGGTACGGTACATGAGCGTATGCTAAAATCTAGTAATCTACTAGTTCTTACTTTCCCGAATTTTTTTGAAGAGTAAATATTCTGATTATTTTGTTTTTTTCTCTTGATGGTGCTAAAGGCTGTTGAGGCAACCAAGGAGGTGAATCTGTGGGTTGAAAAGGAAACAAGTGGCCTTATCAAAGAAATTCTTCCGATAACTACTAATTGAGTAGATCATCTTTACTTTTATGAAGCAACTTGTTTTGCAATCTTAAAGTACTATCAACATCATTCAAAAGCTTTCCTGGCTTTGTGAAAATGGGTACGGTACATGAGCGTATGCTAAAATCTAGTAATCTACTAGTTCTTACTTTCCCGAATTTTTTGAAGAGTAAATATTCTGATTATTTTGTTTTTTACTCTTGATGGTGCTAAAGGCTGTTGAGGCAACCAAAGAGGTGAATCTGTGGGTTGAAAAGGAAACAAGTGGCCTTATCAAAGAAATTCTTCCATCTGGCTCTGTTGATGGTTCAACGAGGCTCATCTTTGCAAATGCAGTTTACTTCAAAGGTGCGTGGAACGAGAAGTTTGACGCATCAAAGACAAAAGAGGATGAATTTTTCCTCCTAAATGGTAGTTCAGTGCAAGTACCCTTCATGACCAGCAAACAGAAGCAATATATACGTGCCTTTGATGGTTTTAAAGTTTTGGGGCTTCCATACAAACAAGGTGAAGACAAGCGTAAATTCTCTATGTATATCTTTCTTCCTGATGCAAAAGACGGACTGCCAGCTTTAGTAGAAAAACTTGGCTGTGAATCTGGCTTCTTGGAGCATCACCTCCCGTATCAACAAGTGAAAGTGGGTGCCTTCCATATTCCAAAATTCAAAGTATCTTTTGGGTTCGAAGCTTCCGAAATCCTCAAGGGACTAGGGGTCATGTTGCCTTTTTCTGGCGATGGACTCCCTGAGATGGTGGACTCTCCTTTTGGTAAAAACCTTTATGTTTCGAGCATTTTCCACAAATCATTTATCGAGGTAAACGAGGAAGGCACGGAAGCTGCAGCTGCAACTGCTGGTGTTATAAAACAAAGGAGTTTGACAATGGAGGACAATTTGGATTTTGTGGCTGACCATCCATTCCTGTTTGTTGTTAGAGAAGATATGACTGGGGTGGTACTATTTATTGGGCAGATTCATAATCCCCTCTCCTGTTAATTGAAGCAACTGTTCAATCAATGGATATGTAGGTCCATGTACCAACACTGTTAAACCTCTTACATGTTTGTTTGGAATTTGATTTCATATCTGGAGACGATGGATGAAGAAACACAGCATTTTGATGTACATTATTTTGCTCGTATAATTGGTATACTGTATATCCTTCCATGGAGAATTTTTGACATGTTTTAGATTCATTTTGTTGCAAATGAAAAGGCTAAACAACAAATAATATATCCTAACGAGTGGAAAATGCATGAAATTTTTTTTAATGATTCGACTCCTTGAACAGGGCATACTCCAACAAGGCCATTGCTCAAATACAAGAAACCTCTTTCTCAAATGTCAAGAGGGTAATTTAGGCTAATATCGAGGCAGCTACAGCTTGTGAAGTTTTGATGGAAGAGACATAACGCCAAAAGAGATGTCACAGTGAAGCTAACAATCAGTTGATGTTGCAGATTACCCCACTTGATAACAAGAGATATTGAGTGCTTTCAGAGGAGTTGCGGTGCAGCCTTGAAGGACTACGGCCTATGCCTGAGGTGCGATGGCTAAACATTGCGAGGGTGTGGCACAACATTTGGGCAGGCAATGATCGAGGGAACTGATTGACGTTAGCATGAGAAGAATGCAGCGGGTGGAGGCTGTTCAAACATTGAGACCCCATTCGTGCAACTCTATCATGGACAATGGGGTGGATTTGGTTCACATAAAGATTATGACGCTGTTCAGTTTTTTACATTGAGGTCGATGAAAGTTTACCAGATGGCACTGATCCATCGAGACATTTGAAATATAAAATATTTAGAGAATTTATGCCGCGGATTTCAGTACGAAACGTCTTCGATACTATAAGAACAATGAATGAAGATACAAACTAGGGCATGAAGGGCACGTGTGGCTAGTGGTGTTAAATGGATCAAGTCGAGCACCATGCAAGTCGGCTCGCGTCCACCTGTTGAGTGAGACAAGTTGCTCACCACTCGTCAATTTCTTTGTTTTACTTAAAATTATATTTTCACGAGTCCGCTCGAGCCAACTGCTCACCTCAGGCGCAAGGCAAGCGGGCAGCTCCCACTTAACATCCCTACGCTTGGCATTATTATAACTTTAGTTATTTTTATTATCTTTCTATTGTTATTTCTATTAGGTATTATTTATATGTTTATGGTTCAGAAACTAATAATGCAATTTTAATTAGGTTTGCTTTAGGTTTTAAGAGTTACCACTCACTTTGTGTTTTTTATTGTTCTGATGATGATAATAATAATAATAAATATGTTTATAGTTCAGAAACTAATAATGCAATTTTACTTAGGTTTGCTTTAGGTTTTAAGAGTTACCACTCACTTTGTGTTTTTTATTGTTCTGATGATGATGATGATGAGATTTTTTTTTTCTAATTTACATATTCAAATAAATATTCTATTAATGGATAATTTATCGATGTCATACTATTCACAACGGCCACTAAAATCACCAAGGCTAACCTTATCATAAACTAAGGCACAATGGCCATGAAGATATTAATGTTAATTACTGTTGGAACATTTTAAAAAATTGGTGTTTATTGGTTTGTTTCATCTTCAATGACATGATGTGAAAATTATGTAAAGTTAATATAACTTATAAATTATAATGTAGACTGTAATATAGCAAAAGGAAAGTACAAAAACACGTGAAAAACAGTCGAAGTAGTGAACAAGTGTTTCGTGCACCAGATAGTCCTTGACATATTCTTGACTGTTTGGATGATTTTTCTCACTTTAAAAAATCTGAAAATGTAATTCAAATGAAGTGGTTCAACTTTTTCGCCATTTTATTCAAATTCAATCTTTTTACGATCGATTGATGTTTTTCATCTGAAAGCAATCCCTGGCATAGACATTTGAGACTCTAAATCTAGGAATGAAGGTTCAATATCCATCATCACAACCTCCAAAGGTTCGGAACTTCAAGTAATACCTATACACGAGGAGAGCACTATTCACACAAAAGTTGTTCATATTTCAATTTTCAAATATTAAAATTCTTCCATCCAAAGTCCAACCTAAGACATCTATTATTAAATTTCATTTATAAAATATCATCCAATACATTTTTAACATTCTGCATTGTAAGTTGTTGGATTGCTGCATTTTGTGATGTGAGCCCATTTTCTTAAGGCTATTGAATTGAGCCCAAATAAATGGCCCGGTATCATGACCTGCAAAGGAAGAATCTAGAAGGCTAAAATTATATCTCTAAAACGAGTTTTTTGGCCATAAGGAGCGTTTTTCTTGGATCAATGACAAATGGCCAATCGATGGACGTTGGATCTTTATCTTTCATATAAATAGGATGCCTCAGATTTTTAGGGTTAGCTTTTAGTATTCTGAGGGTTTTTTGGCTGAGTGTCGTTCTCTCTTCTTTGTTTCTGATCTTGATTTTTCCTCTGAAATACTGAGTGTTATTTTGAGAGAATCTGTAAAGAAACTTTTACGTGAGTTTCTATTAAGGGAAGATTGAGTTGTTTCTCTGTGATCTAGAACTGAGTGTTCTGTAAATTGTACTTTGCCTATTTGTGACCGATTTTTAGTGGATTCGAGCTTAATCATTTATGGATGCTCAACGGGGGACTAAGCGTTAGAAGTGGTCGCTGAACTTCCGGGACCTTTGGCCGTATTTTCTGATTTGTTTTGAGAAAATCTTGATTTCTGCGTTGAGTATTTTTTGGTATAAATTCGATTCTGAAACTACAATGGTATTAGAGCTTGAAATTTTTTGCTTAAATTCAGTTTTCTCAAAACCTAATTTCTGAAACTTGAATCTCAAAGGGGGATTCTCTTGGCCTAAAGAAAATGGGCAGATCTGAAAAAAATTTGCCAACATTCGAAAAAAAAATTTGGGTTGCCTTTGTTATTATTTTTATATATCTTCTTGGAGTTCTTTCTTCTTTCATCCTACAACATTTTTGTTGGTAGCTTTTAAAAGAAAAGGAGTCTGGTTCGACTTGATCTACTCTGTATTTTCCTTTGTCTAGGTTTCCTTAAGAGAACCCTAGAATCTGAGGGAATCCAGGGATCTTTCGATTCAAGAAACCAGAATTTTCGATTTTTTAATTCTTATTAGTTTAATACTGTGTGTATTTTTATAACTTGAATTCATATTCTCGTTTTTTTTTAAAACTATTGGGTGATATTAACGGTGTGATATTTTTTTTTTTTT